TTGTTCTGCCCCAGCTGCTCCTCAAGCTTCTCCTTATAGGTGTTCTTGGCCTTCCTGATCTCCTGCTTGAGCTCCCGCTGTATTATTTTAAGCTCATCCCTGTTCCCTGAAGCAAACACCCTCTTCTTCTTGTTCAGCAGAACTTGAAGCTGGGGGGTCACCCATGGCTTGGTGTTGGCAAAGCACCGCACCCTGCGGGTTGGTACGGTGCTCTCCACACAGAAGTTCATGTAGTCCGTGATGCAGTCAGTGAGGCCATCGATGTCATCTTCATGAGTGCTGCAGAAAGTCTCCCAGTCTGTCGTCTGGAAACAGTCTCTCAGCCTCTCATTGGCCTCCTTTAAAGCAGTGTTAATGCGATTCCCGGTTATTTGGGATAAAACAACTTCAATTTATGCTGTAAACTGGGTAATCATGTTTTTAATGTCTCTTTTTGTCGATGCAGCATGAAATCCCAGCTTTAAAATCACAGCTACCGTAGACAGATTTTTACCATCAGGAGGCAGCATAGTGCTGAGTCCAGACCAATTGATCCTACAAAACGCAATTAAAACACTTAGCGAGGTGACGGCACGTAAATACAATAAAAAATAGTAAAAATCTAAATAAATATTAATATTAGATAATATTTTAAAGACATTGGATGAGGTGAGAAGATGTCAACAAACAGTGTTGAAGAAAATGTTATTCAAATTTGGAAAGGTAAGTCTTTAACTCATCCCACACTGGAAAAAGTCACAATAAACGGGATCTCCCCGTCGGGGAATTGAACCCCGTTCTCCCGCGTAACAGGCGGGGATACTCACCATTAACGAGGAGCTGTTTGCAATTGTTTACATTAGCAAACATTTGCTTATTTCTTTGAAGGTTCAGTCTCTATTCTGTAGAATAGATTGCACTTGGGTTTTGTTTATTTAGACTAAATCTACTGCTTCAATATAAAGGGCGATGTTTTGTAGTTGCAGTTTGGCTTTGAGACTGCTGGTAGAAAGGCTCAGAGAAGGTCATTTGTGGACATAGAGAACTGGGTGTCTATATGGAAAAACTGTGATACTATATGAGACCGTCAGGGGACCCAGAAAAGTCAGTGAGGGACGTGCAGGACGTGTATAAGTTTAGCATGGTAGTTAGGTGTGCTGTCAATGTTTTCGATTAAATAAGTGGGGATCGGCTCTGAGGCCTATCCACTTTTGTAGGTTATGGAGAACAACAGGTTGACAGTTGAAGTCAGGCAGGAGGCTCCATGGACCCTGATGTTTGCACATGACATTGTCATCTGTGGTGGAAGTATGGAGAGAGTAAAACCTGGAGAGGTGGAGGTGAAGAAGGATGAAGGTCACCAGGAAGAAGACAGAATACATGGGTGTAAAATGAGAGTGAGGGCAGTGGGACGATTAAGATGCAAGGAGCAGAGGTAGTAAAGATGGATGGACGGTACAGGGAAAAGTTGAAGAGAAGGGAATAGAGAGGGTGAGTTGGAGGCAGATGATTGGCTGTGGTGACGACTGATGGGAACAGCTAAAAGAAGAAGAAAAAGAAGAATGAATTTGCTGCAGATCACAACTGTCTTTTATTTCAGGTTGTACACTCCTCATGAAAATGAAAAAAACAAAACAATATTATTTTAGTGGCACTACATAAAGATCCAAGCATGGGGCTGGGGCTAAGTGAGACTGTAATAGGACTGAGCCAGAATCTGCTCTGTAAAAAGACACAAGATGTTTTTTTATGAACTAGGAATGGGAATTTGAAGCAGATCTTAGTGTACAAGTCAGTGGGTTTATGTACTTAGAAAGGTCAACGAATCACAGATAAGAGATTGTTCAATAGTGTCAAAGGGACTGTTTTGTGTAAGGAGGTGAAATGGCTTTCCGTCTGTAAGAAAACTTCACTCTGTTCAAACTCAACTATGTCTTTCCCTGTTTAATGGGAAGTAGCTGGATAGTAGATGCATCAGTAAATATAGTGGCTGGTTCTCTATTTGCACTGCCAGAGGTCAAAATCCTCAGCATCTCATGGTTTACTCATCCCAACTCATGTCTCTGTAAAAGTGTGTTAAAGTGAACTCCTTGTCATTGTGACACAGCACACCACTGCACACAACCAAATGTAACCCATCACCTATGTTAGCAATGAGCAGCACAGGCACCTAGGAAGCCCAGTGCCATGCTCAGTGCACCTCAGTGGTGACTTGCTAAATTCCCCTTGTGCTCACATAGAAAGACATTCTTAATTAAAAAACAACGCATCCATGGGAATTGAGGTTGTATTGTGTTAGAACGTTGTTCTCTAGTTCAATCCTCAGTCCATCTGCTTGTGTGGAGTTTCTGTGAGGGCAATGTGTATTTTTCCTGGTACTGCAGGTTCTTAAATTGACCATAGATATGAATATGAGCGTAAATGGCTTTTTGTCTCTATGTGTGGCCCTGTGATGGGCTGTCCAGGGTGTACCTGCTCTGGCCTGTTGACAGGAGTGGTAGAAAATGAACACATAACGAGTGAATGACTGTGAAAGGCTGAAAATGTGAACACAGAGTGGTCATTATTTGTCTTCTCTCACTGCAAACAGCTGACTTTGCTCCACATTTGCTGTCGGGATCAAAACGAATCAGTTTTTACCAATTACGAAACGGACATCTGTTTTCACTCCATAGTAAATGAACTCCCACTCTGCTGGATTTATCTGTGGAACAGAACCAGAATCCCAGAAACAAGAAGCAGAGTCAGGGAGTGTCTTTCTCCCTAAGAAAACAGAAGACTTTGTCTTCTTTTTTTAGCTTTAGCTTTAGCTCACTGACTCACTCTTTAACTCCTGAAGCTTATTTACTGACTCTGCTCTGATTAAAAATGTAATGTGTGTGTGTGTGTGTGTGTGTATTCTGAAGTTTCCAAAGCAACTTGTCACACACATGGTTCCAGCCTTAGTGGCGCCAAAACTACATATTGGAAAAAACTCAATATAAACAAACACACAAGCCAATGCAGCTGTGATTGTGGAGAATGTGGACTTCAGAGTCCTAACCTGAATTCAGATTCCATGAAAATTCCATTACTTCAAGTCTTCTGAGAGAAATTTAAAAGTGTGAAACAACGACACTCCTTGTTCCAAACATTTCTTGACTAAATAATCAGCAGCTCACCCCCTGATTAAACCAAAAAACATCAGATATTTTCTCCAGTCAAAACTTATCATAAGAGTTACTCTAAACTTGATTAAACTTTTGTTTTACTTTTTTTGGTGAGTCATTCTGAACCCAGACATTAGAGCATTATCTACTGATGTGGTGTTATGTCATCTTGTTTGACTGAACTCAGATCAATGATCACACTGCTCCAGCATGATAGTCTGGCCTGTCTTCAACTGTTTCCAGAGTCAAATGTGGGGGCTCAGTGGTGGCTAAGGAAGCCAACTTAGAAGGTTTCAGGTTCTAGTCCACCAGCTGCCAAGTTACCACTGAGGTGCTCTGAGCATGACACCGTCCCCACACACTGCTCCCCTTAAAGCTGCCCACTGTTCACTTTGGTTAAAATCAGAGGTCACATTTGATTGTGAGTGCAATTATGGTGTGTTGTGTCACAATGACAAGGAGTTCACTTCCCCTTTCCTTTAAACCCAATCTTGTGCAAATGTTCCTGAAGTGGAGCAAATGTGGAATATTTGGCTGCGGCTGTTGACTTCTCATGTTACGATGAGAAGTCCATTTCAAGGGGAAGCAACCCCTTTTGCAGTTTTCATGAAACTTGAAACGTTTCTTCTCCTCTACTTTTCTGAAATAACTGTCATTTAGATTAACTCATTCTCAATAAATTTGTTTCGCTACCTTCTTCCTGAATTCTGTCTGCATATGCTCAGTAAGAGGAAAGAGTTCATTGTATGAAGGAGGGCATAGCTGAAACAATCATTATGACAAAGGCATTTCGATTCATTTTTAGCAAATGAATTAAGTGATAAACTTTTGTAATTCTTTAAATAGAAAACAGTTTTATTAGTATTTTTATTGCATGTTGTTGAAGTGGGCCCCTCACAATTCTGGGAGACCCAGAAATTGTGTTGGATTTCCAAATTGTAAGTCCGCCCTTGTTTTTTTTTTCACTGTAGTGAAGAGGCGGAGCCTGGGCTGAGGAGGATAAATTGAAGTGCAGCTGCACAACAGTGTCAGCTCAGGAAAGTTGTGTTAATACATCAAGTCTACTCCTGCAGTCTTCACTCTCCAAAATGATTGAACTCTACCTGGATCTCATATCTCCGCCTTGCCGAGCTGTCTTTCTGTTTGCCAAGGCCGTGAAAATTCCCTTTGAGTTCAAGTTGGTGCAGCTGGGAGCAGGTAAGCCCAAAAGCAAATGAAATTCCTGGAAATAAATCCAAAGACAGAGAGATAGATGTAAACCCAGGAATACTTAAAGGAAGCAGTTGGACCAGAAAGATCTGTGGGAAAGTATAGCTGGGGTGATGGCTAGAAAAACCAGGAAGTATAATTAGGAAGAGGAGAGTGACAGTTTAAAAAATACCAAGATTATTTTTCGATGTTCTGGTTCTGGTTCTTGTGTTTCAGGTGAACAGTACAAAGAAGAATTCAGCAAACTAACTCAGGTCAAGAAAGTTCCTGTTCTGAAGGATGGGAACTTCATCTTAACTGAGAGGTTGGATTTCTCTTCTTCGTTTCTCTCTTCTTACAATTTTTGATCATGCAATTAAATATAAATTTGGCCCAGAAATTGTTCTTTTAACTTACTTGATCTTACACACATAACTACACAACTAAAATGTAACATTTCTTCCTCCGTTTTCTCCCAAATGTGATCATATTTAACACACTGACGTAATGATCAAATGAAAAAGAACTAAATCAAGTGACTGAGACTGGAGGCTTCTCAACAAATGGTAGAAATGGCAAGAAACTGAAGCAGAATTGCACTTAAGATAACAACACACACTGAGCTACTGCTGCAACCACCGTCTCTCCCTCTCTCCCTCTCTCTTAAAGCACCGCTATCCTGAAATACATGGCACGCAAACACTCGACATCTGTGGCTGATCACTGGTTTCCTGCAGATCTACAGCAGCAGGCTCGTGTGGATGAATATTTGTCTTGGCAGCACCTGAACCTCAGAGCTGACTGTTCCAGGGTTTTTCTGCTCCGGGTGAGAGTCCACTCAGATCTGACCTACTCTGAAACATCTTTTAATGCTGACATCACAGTGATAACATTACTTATTTAACCTGTGATTTGGCTAGCAGCCAAAGGCTATTCATCTATTTATCTTAACAGTGAGATAAATGCATGGGAGAACATGAGCAGACTCTGATTAATTTTCTTTAATGAAGTGACTTTAATGTCAGGTGAATTACACTCCTTAACGTCCATGGGGAAGTCTACATTAAGGGTACTTAAGGTAAATCATCAGATCCAGGAGGAGTACTGTAGTTTTTGTCCTAGTCCAAGAACACTGGACCAACTCTTTACCCTCGCAGTGGTACAGTAGTTGAGTAATCACTGGTGTATGTCCAACATGGTTCATGTTTTGTACAGTTTGAAAAGGCCTCTGGTCATGTCCTTTGGGATAGTCATGGCAGGTATATAGTAGTTAGCATACCTGCCGTGCAAGCAAAGAGCAGAGTCCTGGGTTCAGTTTCCACAGTGCCCACCTAACGACACCTCCCCCCACTTGTATGTTGCTTAGATAAAAGTGTATACTATAAGCATAAATGTCCAAATGGAGTGTTCCTGGAATATAGGGTGGGTCTTTTTTATGGAGTGTTCAGTCTGTGTATTGACATAGCCAATGTTTTTTTGCCATTAGCAGCTGCCACTGAAAAAAAAAGAAACAAGACTTTGCTTTTCCAGTTACTAATGTACAAAATCCCATTTACTTTTTAAATAGTTTACATACCTGGTCTACACGTTGAACATTCAAAGAGTTACATAAGAGCTATGAAGGTTTGGTGATAATTAAGGTCGGTGTGGGATTCTTGACTGTGATGTTCTCCTGTGTGAGCAGTCCTTGTATCTTCTGGTCATGGGCTCAGAAGTAACTCCGGAGAAGATGGACAAGGCCATAACCAACATGCAGGAGTCCCTCGACCTGCTTGAGGAGAAGTTCCTGCAGGAGAAAGCCTTCATCATTGGAGATAAAATCTCTATCGCTGATGTGATCGCTGTGGTAGAGGTGATGCAGGTAAGGTGCTAGCTCATCGCCTCAGCTGCTGGTCTGCAAACACAGTAGCTCTGATGATGCAGTTTCACACCAATAACTCAAAAAAACAAAACAAAAACATATGCATCCCAAGTTGTAGCACCACTAGGTGACCAGGCCATTTCAGTTCAACATCAAATAATATCAATGGCCTAGATTTTAACTCAATTAATTTAGTTAGTTTTAATGGTTTTTATGTAAACTGTGTCACCTGCATAAGAATTAGAAAATAAATAACACAAATCAGAAAGTAGCTCAACACTAAATTGAAAAAAAAAAAATCATTTACAAACGTGCAAATTATTAGTGCTGTGTAGATATGTAATGATGAATCAAAAAACCATGATAAATTATTATTGTAAAAAAAAAGAAAAAAGGAGGACAACGAAAAATATATATAGGATATACTGTATATTTTTAGTGCAATTAAGTGTCAGTCTTTTTTAAAAAATTTTATTCCTTAGCCTGTAGGAACTGGTGTGGACACATGGGAGAGTCGCCCAAAGCTCGTTGCCTGGAGAGAAAGAGTGAAAAAGGTATTAGGAGTGAAGCAGTTTGACGAAGTTCACGAGTCTCTGATGAAGACGGATGAATTCAGAGAGAAGATGCAGAATGACCCCGAGATGCTGAAATTTCTTCCAAAGTTAAAGAAAGTTTTTCGCTGGTGAATTTCTTTCCCTCACAACCTGATTGTTGTGGTTCATCCTAATGATAGTTTTCATCTTTGGCATCATGAGGAACCTGCTCCTTCAGCTTGCTTTCTATATCTGATTTAAAAGTGTGCTGAAAAACAACAATCAAGTTTAAAAGGAAAGTTTAAAAAAGTTTAAAACTTTATTTCATGCAATAAAATTGTATTACATGAACAAAAACCTGGTTAGTCTTTTAAATTTATTTTTTTAAAACTTTTAAAAACTTTTTTAAATGTTACCTTTAGCAAAAGTCACCAAGACATAATCCAAACCATAAGATTATATTTTTCCCAACTAACTATTTTAGAAAAAAAAATTCTCTCAATTTATCATTTGAGTTCAAATGTTGTTAAAATTATATTGTTAGAGTCGAAGCAAGCAAGATTCAAGATGTAGTTGATTCAGTAAGTGACTATAGCTACTACAGTAGCTATAGTCACTATGACATAGTCACTATGTGATAGATAGATACTATGTGTATTTGTTTTTTTAAGACAGTTTTATTTAAGAATGTAACAATGTGTGCATAATGTGTACAACACAGCTTATGTCAACAGAGATTCAAATAACGTAATTCTTGTTTTATTCATGTTGACTGCGATTTTATTGATCCTGCTACTAGAACCTGTTTAAAACGGCTAAACGTTAAATCAGTAAAAGCATTGTAACAACAGAGTGCCAGAAAATCAAAAGAAAATATCACTGATTATAGGAGGACAAGTAAAGAAAAGGGGCTTTTGCTCGTAGCACGTTAAATGTTGAAATATCACACAGTCGATTAAATTATCGTAATTTGGAGAAATATATCGTTAACCAAATTAGTATCTGACGCGGCTAGGGATATAATAATGCATCATCAAGAAAACGCGCTGTCATGGGTTTGTGTATAAGACATTTGCTGTATTAACAGTTAAAATGTATACCATTAATTAAAATACATACTTTAATCCAGGTATATACTAATTTAATGGCTTTGCATAAACGCATGCGTAATGTATTGTGGTTCTGTAGTGCGCATGCGCATAAGAGAACAAACAAATCTGACCGAACACCGGACCGAATGTCCAGGTAGGAACGTCAGGTCAGTGGGATAACGGCTTAAAAATGGATATTAGCTTTAATAATAAAAACATATTATTGACTTATGAAATCACAGAAAACTCTACCTTTGTTAATTGCAAGCTGATACAGTGTCGCGGGATGTACTGTTTACAAAAGTGCCGCAATCGGTGAGGTGAGTTTAGCTAATACATTTTCATGAACATGGTTTAGCCCTGTAGCAAGTTGCGAGTTGACACAACATAAAGAAGTTTAAATTAATCAAAAAGTTGTTTTTATTTGCGATAAAATATGAATAAGAACTTTCCATGCATCGTAGTAGCTTTTTTGGGAATTCTGTTTAAACACCTAAAGTTTTAGATAGTTTTAGTTTTTTAGATTTTGTCACTATTTTGATCCAACTGGGAAATTATATTCACAAACCGTTTGTTATAATAGACATACCCGTGAGGTAAGTTTTGTCAGTACAGGCACAACTGGAGATAAAGTCAGGGTCAAGAGAAGGATAGAGAGGGAAGATATGGTAAATGATGATGAGAAAAAGGAAGCAAGAAAAAAGGTGACAAGGAGGTAAAATAATATGTAAAAGAAAATGAAAAGGAGATCAAATGATAGGAGGAAAAGGAAATACAGAACAGAAAAAGAAAGAGTGGTAAAGATTGTCAAAAGTTGTCTTGGACGAATCTCGCGCCAAAGCAACACAAGTGTAAACCTCTGGACGTTAACAAGCTCACAATTCTGAATATTTCATCATCCTCTCAGTTATCACTGTGTTTGTATTTACATATGTGTGTGTGTTTTACAGCAGTAAATCACTGTTGTACAAACACTGATTGTGTTTGAAGGAGTAGGTCGTAGCTGTGTGTTTGTGTGCGTGTGTGTGTGTTCTGAACTCTTCAAGGCTTCTTGGAAAAAAAAATCGTTGTGATCTTTGGACCTACGTCTGAAGATAAGAGAGACTCTGTCAGACCACTAATGATCATTGGAAGGAGCTGGACATGCAGGACCTGCTGGATTAGTGGTTCATCTGGCCCTGGTTATTTTGACTTGTTGACTTACCACTCATGGTAAGTTACACATTTAATATAAAAATAAGTTAACAAAGCTCTCAGTTTAGTAAATTTCAGGTATTTTATTCATCCATTAGCTGTTAACAACAAATATATATTTCAAACGTGTGGCTCCAAAAATTCACCAGTCCGTGTGTTTAATTACATGAAGATATTAATTCTTCTCTTCAGCTAAATTCAAATGTTATTATTATTATTAATTAGACTAAAAGAGACACATTTCAGTCTATTTTAACTTCTACCTTTCTTTTTTACATGACTGAGAAAATATGTGATTCTTGTGTTAAATGATTAATTTAAATAATTCCCCACCCATCAATGGCTGGCTAATCTTTATGTGTGTTATGGGTTGTTTTTTTTAATGGGAAACCTGGGAGTCTTTCGATAATATTGGTTTTAAAGGTAATACTGCCAGTCGATGCTTTTTAAACTTTTTTAATTTAAATTTTAAAATTAAAGTATTAATTTTAAAGAGTAGTGGTGTGTGTTTGTCGGCTTTTTACTTATTTTTTAAGTAATAAATCATATACTCATAATCCAGACTCACAAACTGCAGAAACATTTCTTTACTAAGCAGAAACAAATCCCTGTGTATTGTTTGAACCAGTGACTCAGCTTCTCCCATATGTTTGAAAATAATCTCAGGAAGGAAGAGGTGTTTGTGTTTAACAAGAGCTGGGAATTTGACTCATGTGGAGACGCATGAGCAGAGCTGGAGAAAGGAGCTGTATTAAACGCCTGGATGAGTGGGAACAGGAAAGGAGTTAGATTTATGAAGTTTGGGATCTGAGCATGGTGGGAGGCAAAGAAGAAACAAATACAATAGAGGCAGAACCAGAATCGGAGCAGGCTGTAAAAGACTCAGAGGAACCTTATTCACCCCAGTAGAACTTTTTAGTCAACTTTGGTTCAGTCAAACTTCACTGATTCAGTTGGACCTTGTTGATGAATTTGAACTTTTTCCATTTAGTTGGATTTTGTTGGTCAAGCAGCAGCAACAGTGGACTTCCTGACAGATATCTAAGAATGGTGGGTCTTCTCACTTGAGGAAGTGATGCTTGTTTGTAATGTTGTTTCATTTTCTTTGAGGTTTTCTGAATCTATCCAGTAGCTCTCTTTTCATCACCCTTTTTTCAGTCCCGAAGGTCTTGGATCGAGGAAACATTCCTCATGCGGGATTGTGTGAAGTTTATCCCGTCATCCCGAGACCTTCACAGGTTCATGTGAACATTTTATCTTCTTTTCTTTCATTTATTCATTCATTCATTCAAAATTCCTTAAACCAGGAACATAATATATTTGGATTCTTTCCTCTTATTGTTCGTAATGTCCACAGATGTGTTCCAGTTTGTCAGGTCTGCCAGAACCTGATCAGGTATGATTTTTTTCACACATTGACAAATCTACATCTGAATAGTTCAAATCGAATTCTCTGCCACTAACCCTCTGGTTTCCTTACTTTTCTGTCTCTGTTAGGGTGTTCACCTAGACACTTTTGTTAATCACTTGTTCCTGTTGTCTTGATACAGGCATTAGACACTAGTTTCTTATATTGGTTTTATCTTGACATGTTTTCACAGAGAGCTCCCATCTTAGTTGTTTTGAATTGGATGTCTGTTTAAGAATGAGTATTTATTTATTGTCAGTTTGTGTGTTTGTTGTCTGAGTCGTTTCAAACAAGAAACATAACTATAACAATAGAGAAACAAAAACTAATTGAATTTAAAAGGAAGTCAATAATACCAACAGGAAGTGTAGAGGAAGCAGCCAAAGAATGTTTTGACTCAGTTTAAATCCATGTCCTTTGGGTCTTTAATCACAACAATGGCCAAACGTATTTACTTTTTCTAACCTTTAATTAAACTCAACTCAAAAAAACAATGTGTCTAATATCGTCTGTGGTTCTTGTGACCAATATAGACATAGTCTTTTGTACTGTCCTTAGTGTTTCCTATTATCTTCTGTGGTAAAAATGTGAGTAACCTTTGTTCCTGCCCCTTGATCCATGATCTACAGTTTCTAAGAAAAAAAAAAAAAACTGTCCTAAAAACCTACTTCTGCTTCTATAATATTCAGGCATTCCTGGTCTTTTCTCTTGTTAATGATTCCAGTTCTTACGAATGTTTTTACGAAGTCAAAATATTGAACAGAAACAGTAGAAAATACTAATAGAAACTGCTGAATTTTAAAAACCCTCTCTCTGTATTCTGATTGGTCAGATGTTGCTGCGGTCGCCTGATTGCTGAACACTCCTGGAAAGACTCACCTCCTCCCTTCACTCTCTGTCCTGGTCCTGAACAGGAGGTGGATCAGGACTGGTCCACAGAGCACCACACCAAAGCCAGTCCCACTAATGCTTATGGCACCATTGACTTTCAGGACACTGCCACTCGGGTGTGTCGAGCCAAGGTTGGTTCCTAGGCCCAAGAATTAACACACAGGAGGTTCACTTCAATGAACCAGACAGGTCCAGGGAGATGTGGCGGTCCAGTTGATTTTAAGTATAGATAAAATATATATTAAATCATATAGGGTATTTTTTGCATAAGGAAAATGTATGTATGTATTCTATGAAATGTTTGAATCATAATGCTATACATTTTAACATGTTGATAAAGAAAGTAAACTTATTCTGGCTAAATTTATTTAGCCAAAGGTTGTTTTCTTCTTAGTACGTCCGAGTGGCTGAAGACTCCAAAGCAGAACTGGTGCTTCAGCTAATGTTGAAGGAGTGGCAGATGGAGAAACCAAAACTACTGTTGAGCGTTCATGGAGGATTACAAAACTTTACTCTTCCTCCTAAAGTCAAGCACAGCTTCAGCCGAGGTTTGATAACAGCTGCTCTCAGCACTGGAGCCTGGATCTTCACGGATGGCGTCAACACAGGTTAGATCTAACACTAGGCTCATTATTTGGCTGCGCAATATAACACATGCAACAGTCCTTAGGATTTTTCTGACACTCTATAACACATTGGTAATTATTTTGTGTCATGCCATCCCTTGGGGAGAAAAATGCCACCCCCTCCTTCCAAACCACACCAGTGTGAAATGAAATACTATTGAGAACCTGATAACATGTATATTTTTTATCTGTACAAACCACAGTATGAGTTGCTGCCACCTAGTGACTGAAGGCTTTTGTATCATTTATCATTTAATCATGACAACAATGGTACACTTATGTACAGCGTGCCATATTCTATTGGAAGCCACTGACGCCCCCCCTAACCCCGGCACCTCACCGCGCCTCCCCCCCAGGGAGACCCGCCCCACTGTTTAAAGTGAAATACTTGTCACTTGTGTGTGCTGTGTCACTGTCATTGTGACACAGCACACCACGGCACACAACCAAATGTGACCTCTGCTTCACCCATCACCAAAGTGAACAGGGGGCAGCTTTAAGAGTGACTTGGCAGCTGGTGGACTAGAGCCTGAAGCATTCCGGAACCAAGTCCGCTTCCTTAACCACTAAACCACCACTGCCCATTTGAGAACTACTGCTAACCTAACAACTCCCTGCATTGTATGCCTTTACTCTGTTTTATTGATGCTTGTTGACTTTTGTCTTCTACAACATGAAGGTGTGTCTTCAGTCTCTAGTGTGGAAGTGTAGAAGAATCTATATTTACTGTTCATTCAGCAGCTCCTCACCTTCTCTGCAGGTGTGTCTAAGTACGTGGGTGAGGCTGTGAAAACATTCGGGAGTCACAAACTTAGGAAGAGAAACACAGTAGGTCTGACCTCATGGGGTTTGATTGACAACAACATGGAGCTTATTGGAAGAGATGTAAGTGTTAAATGAATTCCTTTACTAATGTTGAAGCATAAAAGTGACTTTTACTTCACTACACATTGAGGGAGATTCTTTATGGTCTATGTCTTTTGTCAAGTGGGTAAATTAGGGATGGCTTGACACAACTTTTTTTATGTCCGATACTGATACTGCAACTTGGAGTATCTGCAGGATACTAATATCAATCCGATACTTTCTTTTCTCCTCCCGGATGCCGCGTGCTACTATTGCTGAGGCAGTAGTGTTCCTGTTTACGGCATGTCGCACAAATTTTTGTTGAGCTTTTGGGCTTAGGTATTGGATTGTATTGATCCACTATAGTTTTTTTTTTTCATTGTCCGATCCTGAAATTTTAACCAATATTGGTCTGGCAGCCATATTTTTCACGACAGTTGTCAGTAAGCAGACCTGATGGTTGTTTTGATGTGAGAGTGATAATAAGGATAATGGTCAGAATGATGAGTCTGATGATAATGATGATCATACAGGTGTTCAGACCATACCAGCCTGTGGGAAACCCCCTGAGTAAGAGGGCAAGTCTCAACCGTTTCCATTCCCACTTCCTTCTGGTGGATGATGGAACTCTGGGAAAATATGGCTGCCAGCAAGGTCTGAGAAGGAACCTGGAGAAACAGATCCAGTTGCAGAGGATACACCCCCGTGAGTTTGTGTGTGTGTGTTCTCAGTCGGTGCTTGGTTGTGTGATGATGTCATAGTGTGTGTGTTTGTACAAATGCATTCCTGGTATTTCCTCAGGTCTAAACCACGGAGTCCCAGTTCTCTGTGTGGTGATTGAGGGAGGTCCAGCGCTGGTGTCCACAGTGTTGGATTACGTCAGCAGAGCGCCCCCTGTGCCCGTGTTGATCTTTGAAGGTTCAGGCAGAGCGGCAGACCTTCTGGCCTTTTTACACAAGCAGACAGCTAACCACAGGCATGTGTTCGATCCTGTGATGGAGGCATGGAGTCACTTTGACCAATATTGGACCAATACTGACCGCAGCCATTCATAGTTTGTGTGACATGAATCTCTACCTGTTTGTGTGTGTCACTGTACATGACATAGATGTTCGGCCTGTCTTTCAGGAAGCTGGTCTCAGACATCGAGCAGGATTTTTTGCTCAGAATTTCAGATGTCTTTACGGTAGATGCGGCAGAAGCTTCCCATCTCTACAGTCTTCTTCTGCAGTGTATGGACTACAGACAAGCAGTGAGTCAACCTTCAGCCAAACAAAGTCAAGAAAATAAGCTGTGAACTGATTTTATCTTCTGTGTTTGGACCACAGATCACAATCTTTGACTCAGAGTCAGAGGATCAGGCTGCCCCTGACATTTCCATTTTATCTGCTACACTTAAAGGTATCTTTTACTTCTCTGCATTATTAAGAATTTTAGTTACATCCACAGCATTAACATTGAACACTCATGGTTTATGTCTAGAAGACAGTTTAAATCAAGTGTCCCCCCCCAAAAAAAATAGGGCAAGGCGGAGCTACTACATACAGTTGTGCAGGAGAGCATGGCATTTATGTTTTACAGCAAATCCTTTACAGGGTTGCGGAGGAGCTGAATCAGGTTCCGTTATTCGTGAGATCGGGTTTCCTTAACTTGCATGTTTGTGACACCATGTGACAGTTCACCAGTCCACTACAGGAATGCGGTCCTGCAGTGGACAAGGGAACTGTCACATGCTGTCACAAACATGCAGGTTAAGGACTGCATACATAGCATCCACCAGTCACATTCAGAGTCAAAATTAACCAATTAACCATACTTAGGGACCACTCTCCTACATATTCCCTATAAATTAATTTAAATTAAATTACTTTCTTTATTTGTCCCATCGTAGGCAAATGTCGATGATTTGTAATTGTATTGTGTTGCTTAGTGAGAAAAATTATTTTGCAGGAACAACAAACATAAAGCATAAAGTAAAAAGTGACCCCATCTGAAAAGTTTGTGAACAACTGGCTTAAATGAACATCACTTAATAACATTACAAGATTAACAATGTTCTGCAAATCAGAAGGAAACGGCTCATGAAAATAGAGTGGTGTTGTTCAAATGTGTTGAATTCTGCTGTTGAGCAGGAACGGGTGCCAGTCCTGCAGAACAGCTCAGTATGACTCTGGCCTGGGACCGAGCAGACGTTGCTCAGAAAGATGTGCTGGTGTTTGGACGCCATTGGCAGGTCAGAACTCCCCACCTATTACTTTACCTGTATTACTGTCAACACTTTTGACATTGACAACCATTTATCATTAAGCATTTATGGACTATGAATGAACAAATGTTACTTTCTTCTGAATTTTAAAGTGTCCTTGAAGCTTGAACATCAACAAAAACTCATTATTTATTATATAGTCAAATCAGAAGTGAATTTGTCCTTGGCCAATCAGATTAATAGATATTTATTACTGTAACTAACAGAAGGAAGAAACAACTCTTGAAGGAACATTTAAACCCAAAAGAAAATAAGCTATTTTTGTTGTGCAATACTTACAGGATCTTTCTGAGCTTTATTCTAGTGTTTCTGAATTTTGGTTCCAAAAATGTCCAGAAATGTTTTTGAGAGTTTAGCATTCAGCTGCAGCTCTAGTCTATATAAGTGTTTTATTATTGCTTTTTCAGATGGGATCTTTGGAACAGGCCATGTTGGACGCCCTGCTGATGGACCGAGTCAGTTTTGTCAAGCTACTGATTGATAATGGGATGACAATGAGTCGCTTCTTGACTGTGGAGCGTCTGGAGGACCTCTATAACACGGTTTGTCATTTATCCTCTACCCCTCGTAAAGTCAACTCTTTTTTAATTTGTGTCGCACAAAAACATTTGTCTGAATGGACTTTACTTGGTCTTTAAATGGAGGAATGTATGTAAAGTCAGTCTTAGTACATTAGTGTTAATACCTTAACCCTACCTGTACCCCTAATACCCTTCACCTTCACAGAGGGAGCCAACATTTTCTGCAGCATCTTTTTTAGGTTAATACAATATAAATATAAAATTAATACTTTAAATCCCACATCCTCAATTATTCCTTCAAAACTCTGTTATCTTATTTAAATGCTATGATTCCTGCAAACAGATAATAAATAACAAAGAAAATAAAATTACATATCAATGCAATTTTCCCACAATGGAGTAAAAATATATATGTTTTAATTGAAATTATTCTTGGTTATTACAAAACACAGTTTTAAAGCCCCTATCACAATTTTGAATACGTTGATAAATCTTAGAACCTTATTGTGATTAAATTGTTTTATCTTACAGCCTCAGGGTCAAACTGATCGTTTTCTGCGACACCTTGTTGAAGATGTTAAACAGGTAAAGATGGGAATGAGAAAGTGTCAGATCATAGGAGAACGAAACGAGCTCTCAAAAAATCCTGTAGTCTTGTAATTGTTTATATTTTTCCTGGACATGCGTGTGCACAGTCCTCTCTCCCTGCAGGTTACCGTCTTTCTCTCATTGACATCGGCATGGTGATTGAGTATTTGGTGGGAGGAGCTTATCGCAGCACGTACACTAGGAAGAACTTCAGAGCAGCTTATAACCGCCAGCTCAAAGTGAGATTTTCTCATCAACTTATGTCTTCTATTAACTCTTACACAAACAGCATTAAACAAATTACAATGTTTTTCTATATCTTCACAGAAAAATAAAAATAAAATGAGTCAAATGTAACACTCTCTCCTCATTTGACAGAACAGCACAAGGTCATTGTCCAATCAGAGAAGAGATTCAACTCCAAACTCCTCAAGGAGCAGGAGTCTACAGGATCTTCACTTCAGAACTGCTCAGCCTTATAGGTCCAAGGTTTGTATTTAATTTACCTCTTACATTGAATGTTTTGATATTTATAATAATAACCTTCACCTAACCCACAGTAGCTTTACTTAGTAACCTTACTTTACTCTTCAGGACCAGGAGTTGTCCCAGATGGGCAGCCCAGAAGCTTCCCACAGCTCTGGACTCCATGTTCTACCCCTGCTGGTTTTTCCATTTAACTATAATGATCTGTTTGTATGGGCAGTACTTCAGCAGCGCCAAGAGATGGCACTCTTCCTGTGGCAGCATGGGGAGGAGGCACTGGCTCGTGCAACGGTGGCCTGCAAAATGTACCGGTCCATGTCTGTTGAGGCCCGACAAAGTGGCATGGATGATAATGCCAGTGAGAGATTTAAGGAGTATTCACTGTGAGTCCATGACGTCAGGGTGTGAGTCAAACAGCTCTGTTTGTCCATCACATCTAGTTTCGGATTTTTGTGACATCTTAATTTAAGTGTTCTTGAAAGAAAGTGTTGTTTGGTATGTTTGCGTGACAGAGAGTTTGGTCGGCTGGCTGTGGACTTTCTGGACTGTGCATTTCACCAGAATGAGCAGATGGCCATGAAGCTGCTGACCTCTGAGATGGAGGCATGGAGTCACTTCACGTGCCTGCAGATGGCGGTGTCTTCATGCCACCGAACCTTTGTCTCACACTCCTGCACTCAGACACTGCTTACTGATCTGTGGACTGGTCCACTTAACATGAGAAAGAACTCTGTCATCAGGGTTGGGACAAACACACACAAATGCTTAGAAATGTTGAATAACTCTAGTGTTGTATAGTTCAGGAAAATATTCTTATTGTATGTTGTAATGTGACTATTTGAGATTATTGACTTCATGCTGGACAGGCCAGGAGTAAAAAATGATTAATAAGCTTTTAAAAACCGTTTCAGATTATTTTAAGCCTTCTGCTGCCCCCTGCTGTCTTCCTGCTGGAGTTTAAAAGTAAAGCTGAAATGTGCCATGTGCCTCAGTCTCATGAAGTCATGCTCTTCTCACTGGACTCAGTGAAATCAGATCCAATGGTAAATACTGGCTCTACTTTAAAACCAGAACCAGTACTAAAATGGACTTCATCAAAACCAGGCTCTTATTTCTGGTCTACTGTCCTGCTTAATTCTTATTTGTAGGTGGGTAAGGATTCACAAGAAGGACTTGCCTCCAATCTCAAAGGGTCGAGCTCAGGATCAGAAATGAAAACCTCCACATTGACACTTTGCCTTTCCTGGATCAAAAGACTTTATGAGTTCTATACTGCTCCTGTGGTCAAGTTCTGGTTTCACACAGTAGGTGGCATCATTACACACACTGGTTTAATTCTTTGTTAACCCTTTGTCAAGACTGTATTTTTCAGTTGTGTTCCTCTTTCTCTAAGATTTTTTACCTGGCCTTCCTCATGTTGTTCTCCTTTGTGGTTCTGGTGAAGATGGGGGATCAGCCCAGTATCCAGGAGTGGCTGGTCATTGCTTACATCATGTCCAGTGCAGTGGAGAAAGTCCGAGAGGTCAGAGTACTAAAACATTGTTAATTGTAAAAAGCCATGATTTCATTCTTTAACTTCCACATTCTTTCAATTCTCAATTCTCCCAACTCACCCTGTAGGATACACTCTGAACAGTTCCCTAGTCCTTTTTGGTGTGATTTATAAAGACGAATATACAATACTTGTAATCAATATAGTGTTCAATCAATATAGTGTTCAACGGTTACTACAAGAAAAACATTAAATAAAACTACAGAAAAGCCATTGGTTACCACCAGGGCTTCAGCCAGTGATCTCCTTTCTTTAAGGCAGGAGTGATAACTGCACTTCCACACTGTGGCCTTGTATTGTTTCTAACATCAAATAATAATAATAATAATAGGAATTTCAGATTTAGGACATATTTGCATTTTCAGTGAAGGGCCCCTAAGTCTTTTCTTGTCCCCAAAACTTGTTGCAATACCATTCTCTTACAAACTGATACAACTACAAGGATTTATGTTTGCTAACATGCCGTTACAGTGTGACGATAATAGTTTTTGAGGTTGGGTTTCTATAAATATGCAATGAGCTAGCAGTGTAATATAGATGGAACAGCTTTGTAAAATTAGGTGACTGTAAGTCTGTAGATATGGGCTTAACGCCATCTCAGTCTCATTAACAGAAGGTATCTTAAGCTAAAAGAAAAAAAATGTTTCTGTAAAAGAAAATTGTACATATATATGTGTACAGATGAAATCAGTCAATGTAAAGTTCTATTTTCTGAATATTTAACATAAAATCACTGTTTTATGTTTCCTTATTAGGTTCTCATGTCTGAGCCTAGGAAACTGAGCCACAAGCTGAAGATTTGGTTCTCAGAGTACTGGAACATATCCGACTTTGTTGCCATTCTGCTGTTTCTGTCTGGACTAGTTTTGCGGTGGTATCCTGATCCATACAGGACAGCCGGACGGCTGGCCTACTGTCTTGACATCATCTTCTGGTTCATCAGGCTAACAGAGCTCTTGGCTGTCAACCAGCACGCTGGTCCTTACCTCACCATGATTACCAAGATGGTAAGCTTCAAAAAACCCTGCTGAATATGTTTTTTTATTATGTATAAATTATTGTTTATTCTTGATTCTCTAAGACCAGTAATATGTTCTTCATCGTGGTGATGATGGCCATTGTCCTGCTGAGCTTTGGTGTCTCCAGAAAAGCAATCCTGTCCCCAGATGAAGAGCCGTCATGGAGTTTGGCCAGAGATGTGGTTTTCCAGCCGTATTGGATGATCTATGGAGAAGTCTACGCTGGAGAGATTGATTGTTAGTTATTTACAGTGGTTTTGAGTGCACAAATTAATTGCTGTGATTAAGACATTTATTTTGACAGCCCTTGTAAAAAAGTAAAGAAAATTCAAAGAGAGAAATGTAACTTCAGTGTTTGTTTTTTTCTTAAACAGCCTGTGACGATGGTGTCCCTTGTTCTTCTGCATCATTCCTCACTCCTTTCCTTCAGGCCGTCTACATGTTTTTCCAATACATCATTATGGTCAACATCCTCATTGCCTTCTTTAAGTCAGAATCATTTTTCACACAAGAAATACAATTAATTGTTGCTTCACCTCAGTTTGACAAAAACCTGAAAAAAAACCAAACAATTTTCTTTGTAACAGCAACATCTACTTCGACATGGCCTCAACCTCCAACAAACTGTGGAAGTACAATCGATATCGTTACATCATGACCTATCTGGAACGGCCGTGGCTGCCACCACCACTTGTTGTCCTCAGTCACCTAACCCTGGCCTTGAGCGCCACATATAGGACACTTAGAAGAGATGCAGAAGCAGAGGAAAAATACAGAGACAGAAGATCTGGCCTGAGTCAGTGCACAATCAACTCTGCATCTCTGCTGAATTTCAAATCATCTGTAGTGATTTAGTTATCCTTTCCTTTTGTCTACTGAGCAGAACTTCATCTGTGCTCGGAGGATCGTAAGAAGCTTCACGAGTTTGAGGAGAAGTGTGTGTATACTTACAAGCACAAGAAGCGTGAGGAACGTGATGGTGGCCAGAATAAGAGGATCAAAGCCACAGCAGAGAGGTAGGTTACCAAGAGTGCAATTTGAATTTTAAAAAATTGCCTCTGCTGAAAGATACAAAATGTTTGTTTAAGTCATTCGTGTTCTAACATTTAAAGATGAAGATAAACCATATTTCTACAGCATAATAATACAACAAGTTTATTTTCTAAATATGTTAAACCAGATCAGAGGAGATGAGTAGCATGGTGGGTGAGGTCTTAGAGAAGGTCCAGGTGATCCAGGACAGCCTGTCGGGGCTGGATTGTCAGCTGGGTCAACTTCAGGACCTGTCAAGCCTGGTCATGGACACAGCAACTATTCTCTCAGCCTCTGACTGTCTACATCAGGAGGAGGCTCGTCTGGCTCAGTGTGGATCCGTCTCAGCTTCTTGTCATGTTCCGCCACCCCAGAGCAGGAGATTTCTGCACAAAACAGGACTAGAGTATGAAGGACAGAACCCCCAAAAGGGGAAGAACTGGGCCTTTAAAAGTAAAAGTACTCCATCCTCTCTGTTGAAAGGGTTTCATCTGGTTGTAAGTGGACTGCAACCAGAGGAAGACAGCAATGAGGACATGAAGGTACAATGTCCCATTCAGAGGACTGCACCTAATCAATGGAAAATGTGCTCTACAACAATATTTAAACAAGTGAAATCAGCAGATGAAGAAAAACAAGTTAGACAAGAAATTAACATAAAAAACAACACATTCAAAATAAATATATTTTGCCAAGTGACAACAATAACTTCTAACTCCGAGATCTGTTGTTTCCCCAGTCTGCTGCTGCTGCTGAATACAGTCTGGAAGCTTCTCCACCTGTAGCTTACAGCTTCTCCTCCCGTGGTCTAGGAGTTCAACATCACTTTGGTCTAAAGGATCAGAGTTTCCCTGTGTCCAGTGGACATTCGTACTCTCAAACTCCTTTTGTTTCTGGACATTTAGAGCTACCCTACCGTAAATTTTCAATTGGTGAGCAATACCTGTGTCACAGCCAAGAGGAAACCTCTGTGGAGGAAGAAAAAGAAGAATATTTGGCAGAAAGGGAAGAAGATGAAGACAACCATGAAGAAGGAAGTCAAAAAGAACTGTTTCCTAACATGACGTCATCCAGAACCTCCAGCCACACTGTTCTTCTGTCCAATCATGACGACATCTCTGAAGGTCTGGTTAACCCTGCCTTCTCTCTAGAGAACAGCCAACCAGCTCCTCTGTCTTCTGATCAGTGTGAACGTCACCTGAAGTCTAGGTGGAACAGAATGTCTGTCAACCACCCCTACATATGGTGTCGATCTCTGTCATCAAGTGTAGAGAACATCACCTTCTGTGCTGCTCCTCTATGTCCAGAGAGAGACTCCTTTCCCTCACTCTGTCGACCAATGAGGGGTCAGAGATTGTCAAGTGGGAGGAGCTTCAGTGACATTAGCAAGAGCACAGGTACTGTTGATATTCTGTGAACTTAAAAAAAAAAGTTCCAGTTAATAGTACTGTTAACTGTAACTGTGTTGCTGCAGAGTGGCCCAGATCTTCTGACCTTGGTGTGGACAACAAGGAAAAGACTTCAAGCAAGAAGACGGTGAAGATCAAGGAGGAACATGGACTTGATGATGTAATCTAACACATATCCTACGTTTGTAGAATTTCATCAATTGTATTTTAACATAGACTTGAGAAAGGTCTTGAACATTACAAACCCAAGATAAAGGAACCAAAGCTCTTCCTTTATCATCTACTGGTGTTAATTGTGGAACCTCAATGACCTGGAATATTTGTCTTTTTCCCTGATTATCTGGAGGACGTGAAGCTGAATTCATACCATGGCTGTTGGAGAAGGCAACGCTGGTTCAGAGGAGAACCCACATGTTGGTCAGCATCAACCAGCCTTAGTCAGCTTGGTAAGTCTGGGCATACACCAGAAGAGCTTGGTCCTGGGTCTGGGTCTGGACCTGCTGACATTTCTGATTCCAGCTGATGGGTCTCCCATTAGGCCCTACAGTATAACACGGATGGTATTGGTAGGTAAAATACCACCCTCATGGGAACAATGGTCTGGCCCAGTTAGAATGGTAACTAGCTACCATGTCTAGTAAATGCCGGTCATAAACCCAACCATCTCTGATTGACACAACCCAAACAGAGAAGTTTCTCTTATTGTATTATTGGCCAAAACTGAAAAAGTTCACGCCCTACCTAGGGCACATCTGGTATATGCAGTGGCCTCAGTAGGAGATGATGTAGCATGTCCATTTTTGTTGTATACTCTAGTTTAGGTGGTGTCCTGGACTGGCTCTGTTTCTTAGAGTTTGATGGAGATAGAGAGTTTGATAAAAATGAAAATATTCCATCTATTAAATACTTTACTTTACTTTTCTCATTTTCTCAATTTCTGTTCTTTTAGATTTTGAACCAATAGATGTGTTGCAGAAACAGATGATTTCTCCTCAGGTAAATTTGTGAAATTTACTTTAAAGTTTACTTCATCTATATAGAGATCACTTTAAGCCTTTGGGAGAAAAAAAAGGTACTTAATAGGAAACCATTCTAATGTCATCAGTTGTGTCCTTTATTTGGCTGATGACAGTCAATAGTACAGTAGATGTGGTGTTTATGATGTCTCTGAACTAAATTGCTACTTCACGTACTGTACAGGACATGTGGAGTCCCACTCATTCAGCCTGGAACAGCTGGGCTAGGTCCATGAGCCGCAGATCTTCGTGAGTGTCAATGTTTCCCCCATCTTTGCCAGTAACACAACTGTAGATCTAGTAATAATAATGTAATAGTTGTGTTTATCATTGATGACACAGCTGAGCTTGTTCTAATTCTTCCACAGGTTACAGAACTTTATCAATCCTGAAGGTTTGTAAGAATCAGTTACATATATACATACATAGTCTGTAGATTTCTAACACATATTGCCCTTTTTCTGTCATGTCATATAATTTCTTATAATAATAATAATAATAATAATAATAATAATAATAATAATAATAATTGTAAGAGTAATCATGTGTTTTGCAGTGAAGAGTTCATCATTTTCCTCCATGGACAGTTTGTTTCCACACTATTCAGGTAACATTTTCAAACTGGGTTTGTACAGGATAATGTTGAAAATGTTGGGCCTTTTTTAATCTGCTGTTTTGTGTCTGTGTATGCATGTGCTTGTTTGTGTTTGTGTGTTCGCAGCAATGGAGAGGAATAACTTGATGAGATTGGCTCTATCCGTTCCCTTCACTCCTGTTTCCATCTTTGGTAATTTCTCTTCTGGAACTATTTAATTAAAACACCTATATCTTAAATGCATTGACCTTGTTGTTGTATTGTAGAGTCTGACTGAACACTGACTTATTGTAATCAAATAAAGAATAGTCCATCTATAGCAATAACAGTCCACACTGTCCAGACAGGACAGAACCAGTAAAACCCACAGTGATAGACAGAGGATACTGTTAAATTACAAAAAAAACAAAAAACAATAAATGATTAGAGATGCTTCAAGGAAAACAAAATGAACATATTTCATTATTATATTTCTGCACTTATAGGAGGTGAAGAGGTCAGTGTCTATACTTTACAGGATTCAGACCCCAGCACTCTCCCCCCCTGCTGGTCAACTCAGGGGATGTCAGCATTGCTGCAGCCTCTTTCCAGTGAGGAGGGTTCTCTTGATGGTGGGCTGTGTTTGGGCTGCAGAGCTCTTTGCACATGGGCAGAGAATGACGTACTCAGAACAGGTCTAGTCTACGTGGTCAAAGCCTTCAAACCGGAGGTGGTTCGAGTCTGGCAGAGGTATTTTCCTGGAGACACTGCGCTGCAACTCTGTCTAAGGGTCAGTATTAATTCTGTTCCAACATTTGTCCCAATTGTCAGGTTTATTCTAACATATATGATGACACAAAAAAAATACAAAAGACGTCTTGATTTTTTTACTTGAAAGGGGATAGTGCAGCTTCCTCATCAACTCTGAGTAGCCACACCCTTCCTCTGCACTTTTATTGAGTTTATAAAAATATCAGATTACATATCATGTGATCGTGTGTGAGTATATGAATGGGTATGGAGTAAGAAGGTGGGTGTGAATGTGGGTGTAGCTGTGTCTGGTAATTTCTCCATCAGTCTTGAACACACTAGATTATAATATGAGAAGCAAACAGTTACTTAAAGCGACAGTACAACATGAAGCAATGATAATAAATTAAATTCTTCCAACATTTCCCTCCTGTTTATCATTGATGAATTCCAAAATCTCTTATTCTGCATTATGGCTCCTTAGGCTAGGTTTTTCATAACACATTCACTTTCAAATCACACATAGTCTCCTTTGGGTTTATGAGGAGTAAATGCTCCTGTTTTAGTTTTATTTGAAATTGGTGGGAAGATTGAGTTACAGGTGTCAACTAAGTTCTGTCAGGTTTCGTTATTTCATTCCTAATTATTACTCTAATGAATCTCATTAGATCTACTCCAGTCTAATCTACTCCAAGGACCAAATATATTTCAGTTTGATTTGTTTTACCAGAGAGTTTCCAATTACTCCCCGTTGGTAATTTAGTCCAATTCAGGGACATAGTGATCGGATTTTGGGTGTTGGATTTTCAATTGATTCCAGATGTCTTTGTCTCTGTACACATTTTTATCTGACATTGTGGGAATCCATTGACCTGTATATCCTGCTACCGTGTTCCAATCTTCACACCATCCTCTACGGGGCAGCCGGTTCTGTTCACATCGGGCTATGGACATAATAATTTTATTCAATTTTTTAATTTTGGAATTTTTTATTTTACGCTGTGCAAAAAACCCTAGAAAAAAAAAATCTTAATAGTTGGTCTTGTGATCTACTTCAACTGATCAGCAGTCGTACGTTTACACGGTTTCAGACTACCCACTGATTCGATCACAATTCCTCCTCAGTCACACGACATATAGATCATAGGGTTTGTAAGTGTAGTTCCAATTGTTGCAATTAATTACTGAACACAGATCGCCATTGTCTTACCTAATATATATTCAAGAGTAATACCACCATAGTTATTTAAACATTTAGAATCATTCGTTGCTTCATTGTTTTCTCTTTTTACTCTCTTGTGTGAATGTTGTTGCTCTGCTGGATCTTTCATCATTGATGGGTGGTCAGTGGTGGTGTTGTTTTTCTGTAGCTCTTTGTCTTTTAGAGTGAGTACGATAGGCAGCACCAGGACGACTCCTGTGACTATCAATACACACACAGAGTGTCGCATTGGAACTCCTAATCTACGGAATGGGTGCCATGGTTTTGGCTTGAGTCAAGTATCTTCTGTCGTCATCATTTTGAGATGAGAGGTTACCAGCACTTCACTCTCTTTGTCAATCATCTTATGTCTGCAGGACTGTGGTTTGCCCAATACAGTAATCATGTTAAATGGCTGAGGATCTCCTTGCTTCACCAACATTGAGACGTATAGCTTCTGTAATAGCTACACCCCTTTGTAGTCAGACCAATTGGATCCTGTACCAAGAACCTCTGTCTCTTGCAATGCATCGTTCAGTAATCTTTATGGCCGTAGGCGTCGTCAGCAGGACCTGGTATGGGCCTTCCCACTTTGGACTCGACCAACACTTCCTTTTGATGATATAGGTGTATCTGGCATAGAGTTAGAATTTTGTATTTCTTTTGTTTTTAGCACAGTGGTGTTTTAAATTTGTTTTCATCTTTTGGCTTATGCTTGATATGGTATAATGGTATATTATTATTTTGGTATAATCCCTTTGACCAATGCTTCATGGAACATATCTACACTTGTCATTGAAGTGATATTGAAACAGTGACAGGGATTATTTGTAAGGCATGTGTGTTCTATGTAGCAGCATGGCACTATTTGTGATTGACAACTGGGCTGTCCAATAAGAACCTAGTACAGTACAGTAGTAGAAATAGAAAAAAAAATAGTTTCAGAAACATAGAACCAAATAAGCAAAGCAATACAAAAGTAACTTAAAACTAAAAAATATAGAAAATATAATAATTTTTTTTTAAGGAAAACCATATATATATATCCTATAAAGGCAAATATTCATACTAAACAGACAATATTACTTAGTATTGACTGTCTGATCTAACCCTTACATCACTTTCTCTCACTTCCTCTTTACTTTCTTTTCCTGTTGATGCCCTTATGACATTGTGAATGCAGTAGAGTTGACATATACTACAACAATCATGTGTTACCCTTACATACATCAATATATGTCTCTCACCCCTCTTTTTGTGAAACAGTACATACAGTACATGGAACATATCTACACTTGTCATTGAAGTGATATTGAAACAGTGACAGGGATTATTTGTAAGGCATGTGTGTTCTATGTAGCAGCATGGCACTATTTGTGATTGACAACTGGGCTGTCCAATAAGAACCTAGTACAGTACAGTAGTAGAAATAGAAAAAAAAATAGTTTCAGAAACATAGAACCAAATAAGCAAAGCAATACAAAAGTAACTTAAAACTAAAAAATATAGAAAATATAATAATTTTTTTTTAAGGAAAACCATATATATATATCCTATAAAGGCAAATATTCATACTAAACAGACAATATTACTTAGAAAATGTCTAAAAGTTAGGAAAAACCTTAAATAAATTGATGGCTAAATTTTGGACCCAAAGATAATTTTGGATGTAGCAAAACTAGCTCAGCAGATATAGCATTGTGAATGCAGTAGAGCTGACATATACCACAACAATCATGTGTTACCCTTACTGGCTTGCACGTTAGTAATTGTACTACATCTGCATTGCCTTGTGACCAACAATAATGTTGTCGGTATCTCTGCTAAAAGGTTCTCTTCTTCTTTTGTCAGTAGAATTTGGACATTTTCAGTGGAAAGTTCAGTGAATGGCTGTACGTAGTCGGTGTTATCTGATTGCCATTCACAGTCAAGGCTGTATGCAGCTACGGTAGATATTACACCCAGTCGATGCCATGACATTCCTTTTTGTTTTGCTAATAAAAAATGGATCACCGTACTTGCTGCATGTAATCTCTCTGCTTCTTCTGAAACCTTGACAGTAGCGACAGATGTGCTCTCTTTATCTGTTATTATGTCTTGTATTAGAATTTGTTGAGATTTCAGTTTGTGCACCTTATCAAAATCAACGTCTTGCCCTGGAGTGTTCTTTAAACGCAAAGTTAGATGCAGTTTATCGACTTGTTGAATTTGGTCTGGCATTTTTAACAAATATGTTATTTTGCTAAGCAGTGTTGTTTGGACACTCAAAGGTGGACCAGTGTTCAAATCTAATGACCAGATATAGTTTGGCGTGCCTGTTCCTTGCACAACCATAACATCAGTGTTTATTTTGTCTATTCTTTTCACAGTCATTCCACCAGTCTCATCGGGCACAATCGCTAGTCGTTACTGTGTCATTGCATCTCAAGTTTACTGGACAATTTGGTGCCAAAATAATTTGCACTCGACATTTATTTACATTTTCTGGATTCTTTTGATTCTGTGCCTTATTTGCCTTATTTCTTCACAGCACACAGTTCTACATGCTCCCGTCGGATCTTTTGTTTTTGGTTGGTCCAAGGTTTTTTAACTTGGATACAAAGGTTTAACCACATTATTACAGGGTTTATTTTTTATTACAGCCCACACAGGTTATAAACAGTAGTTCACTTTTGTCAAGATGTAACATTAGAACCTATTCATAATAATGATACAAATATTTTTAAGGTCCACTTGTGATCACATAATTTAAGGTGTGAACAGTTGAAAACGCATCAAAATAAACATTTTAAACCATTTACAATAACTTTGAAAGTTGAGTCATGATCACAAATGTAATTGTGACAGAAGTTATTTTTGACTGTTCTCTGTGCAGGAGATCCAGCAGCAGAGAGCTGCTCAGAGACTGATGAACATCTTTAACCAAATCAAACCTAACGAGGTTCAACACACACCCAGGTCTCTCTGAGATTTGTTTTACTGTATTATCTGTGTGTGTGTGTCACATTTGAAAACATTTTAATGGATCTGAATTGTACCTAGACATGTACTTAGCATCCCGTTTAAACTCCACAGTATTTGTCTTTTTGTTACGTAAGTTCCCCATTTTGATTTCTTATTTTATTCAATTTTTTAATTTTGGAATTTTTTATTTTACGCTGTGCAAAAAACCCTAGAAAAAAAAAATCTTAATAGTTGGTCTTGTGATCTACTTCAACTGATCAGCAGTCGTACGTTTACACGGTTTCAGACTACCCACTGATTCGATCACAATTCCTCCTCAGTCACACGACATATAGATCATAGGGTTTGTAAGTGTAGTTCCAATTGTTGCAATTAATTACTGAACACAGATCGCCATTGTCTTACCTAATATATATTCAAGAGTAATACCACCATAGTTATTTAAACATTTAGAATCATTCGTTGCTTCA